CTAATTTTTGCATTTTCCGTAGAGATGGGGTTTCACCATGTTGGCCAGGCTGGTCTCGAACTCCTGACCTCAAGTGATCTGCTTGTCTCAGCCTCCTAAAGTGCTGGGACTACAGGTGTGAGCCACTGTGCCTGGCCCAATGTATATATTTTTATTTTTTTAATTTTATTTTTGTTTTCTTGAGACAGGGGTTTGCTCTGTTACCCAGGCTAAAGTGCAGTAGTATGATCACAGCTCACTGCAGCCTCGAACTCCTGGGTTCAAGTGATCTTCCCACCTCAGTCTCTTGAGTAGCTGCGACCATAGGCGTGTGCCACCACACCTGGCTAATTTTTTATTTTTTTGTAGAGATGGGGTATCACTATGTTGCCCAGGCTGGTCTTGAACTCCTGGGCTCAAGCAGCCCTCCCACTTGGCCTGTCAAAGTGCTAGGATTACAGGTGTGAGGTACTGCACCTGGCCCTCATTATAGTTTAGTAATTGATTTTATTTGTAAAATTTTAGTTACATGGAGAAGTTTATATATACCTTTATCATTCAATTCCTTGTGCTATTTATAATAATTTTCTTTTTCTATTTTTAATCCTATCATTTCATCCTTATCACTTCTGAACAAAATGCTTTTTGACAGAATTGCTTATGTTTCCTCACATGCTTAGTTTTTAGCACATGATTTTGAGGATTAAATTGTTTTCTTTGCCTGGATGTCAACAGCAGTTGCTAAGTGTACCTGACCAGAAGGATTTCTTTACCCTTATTCTCTTAAAGGTCTGTAACCTGGGTACCTCTACCAATGAAGCAATGATGGCTCATCTGAATTTTGGATTCCTTCATAAAATCATTGTCACAACTCCTTCAAATTGTTATTCTAAACAATAATGACTCATTACCTAAGGAGGTAGTAGGCTAATCCTCGAATAGGTAATTATTAGTGTAGACCAATATTAACCAAAAAAACAAAAAAACAAAAAACACTATATTTAAAAATAATTAAATGTTAATCTGAAAATAGGAATTTTTTGTTTATGTGGTTATTTGTGCTTTTAAAAAGTATTAAGACCCACAGATCACCGCTAAAGAACTTAACATAACCAAATACCACCTGTTCCCCAGTAACCTAGGGAAATAAAATAAATAAATACATTAATAAAAGTTTAATCAGAAAAAGTATTACTATTGCTGATATGGTGGTGTAGTAAAAGAATTTTGAAAAAAGTATTGCTATTTAACAACTGTATTCACATAATGAACCAGAAGGTGGATCTCAGCCAGTGATAGAGAAAATTTAAGTGAGTGGTGAAGTTTTAATAATTGGAACTAAGAAGTTTCTCTTACTCAGATCCTATGTCCACTGGTAGTATGTGCTGTTTTCTGCTGTCTTTATTTATCCCAAGTTTTCTACCATGATATGCTAAGAAGTAACTTGAACATTTAAGATTCATTTAATTCTCTGTTTCCCTTGCCTATTTGTTAGTAGTTCAAGGTGTATCTAGACCTACTTTGCGCTCTTCCTGCTCCCTTTCCGATTTTGATTTCCCTTGTGTGGCAGCCAGGTGCTCACACTGGGGTGTTGGTGGTGGGTGTAGACCTGCTACATTGGGAGTAACAGGTCAGAGGTGCAGGCCGAGAAGTGTAACTTGTAGTCTTACACTTTGTGATTTAAAATAATCATAATCATTAAAGGTGATTTTTTTAGTAAAATATCTGTCCCTACTACCATCCCTACCCCCTGCCCCGTAGTAATAATGACAGGCAAATCACACATACACACACTGAAAAAAGAAAGAACACAGACTGATGGGAGGTTGAGAAGTGGTTCACAATTGTTACATTCTTTAGCAAAATGTGTTCTGATTGGTGATACCATTTCTTTTCTTTTTTAGGAAAATCATCAGCGTGTTAGCATTTTCTTTGACTACGCAAGACGTAGCAAGAACACTGCGTGGCCCTACTTTCTGCCAATGTTGAATCGCCAGGATCCCTTTACTGTTTATATGGTAAATTTTGAATTGATTGGATTCTTTTTTAAAAATTTTTTTAAGGAGAGAGGGTCTCACTATGTTGCCGAGGCTGGTCTTGAACTTCAGGGCTCAAGCAATCCACCTGCCTTGGCCTTCTAAAGTGCTGGGATTACAGGTGTGAGCCACTGCCCCCAACTGGATTTTTTTTTTTTTTAAATACAAAGAAGAAAAGTTTTTATTTAAAAAATTTTGTTTAAAATGGACAGAATTGTGATTACATTCTCATTTAGGTAAGAAAGAAACCTGGGCCTTTTATGTCCGTTCCCGTAGGAGTAACTACTGTGCCCTTTATGACATAGTAACCTGTCCGTTCCCATAGGCGTAACTACTATGACATTAGCTTTCCGTATTGGTGTTCAGTAGAGAAAGGACATTGGGAGTTGGAAGGAGATAGGGTTGCTCTGACGCAGTTAAGGTTTTGTGGACTGCAAGGAGTGCATCAAAGCCTGTGGAGAATTCTCACATGTACAGTGTTTGTAGTGGGGTTAACCCCATTTTACTATATAGAAATTAAATCTTACTTTGAAGCAGCTACTGTGTTTCATTTTTTTTTTAAGTGATTACTTGATTGCTTTTCAATATCTTAAATGCACTCTTGGTTTTTTTTTTTTTTTTTGAGGCGGAGTCCCACTGTGTTGCCAGACTGAAGTGCAGTTGCGCGATCTCGGCTCACTGCAACCTCCGTCTCCCGAGTTCAAGTGATTCTTCTGCCTCAGCCTCCCCAGTAGCTGGGATTACAGGCATGCACCACCACGCCCAGCTAATTTTTGTATCTTTAGTAGAGACGAGGTTTCACCATGTTGGCCAGGCTGGTCTTGAACTCCTGACCTTGTGATCCATCTGCCTTAGCCTCCGAGAAAGCTGGGATTATAGGCGTGAGCCACCACACCCAGCCTACATTCCTGTTTTAAACGTAGGCTATGTTTGGAAGCCCTAGTACTGAAGAATCTTTCGTGGAGTCTGAAAGCAGGGTTGAGAGAATAAACCTTTGTACAAACAGGCGTTCTCTATTTCCATTGGGGAGTGGGCTACGGACTGGGGATGGCAGGAGCTGTTGGGAGGCATGTAGCTCCAGAGGCTGCTTGTTTCAGTAGATGTTTTTAAAAGTTTTCAAATCAGGGGCCACTGGCAGTGAAACATTTTTGAGCATGTATGTTGTCTCGTTCCCTCCCTCCCTCCTTCCACATGTATATGTATTCATATGGTATAGTTATATATTGTATTCATATAGTATATTTATATGTTGTGGACATTATGAAATATCTATAAAAAGAGAAATTAAGGAGGACTGATGAAATACACTGTATTTTAAAGAATACTTTTTTAAAAGCCAGTAATATATTTCCCTCTTTAAAATTGTAGAGGTTTGTTGTCTTCACTGGTTTAAATGTCCTCCTAATGGTATAACAACAAAACTGACAAATACATTAAACAAATATATACTTAGGGAATGGTTCATTATTACTGTGTGGCCAAATCCATGTTAACTTCTTGATGATTTCATTTACTTTTGGCCAATCTTTCACATTCTGAGGGAGACTCCCATTGGTTTACCATGTGCTGATAAAGAGCTTATGTTAGCTTATGCTCTTGTTCCTTTGTCTTGTGCATGCACTGCTGATGATATTTTCAATCCTTGGCCTCCTAACAGTACTCCTTTTAAGTCAGTTGTCTATTTTGTGACAGTAAGATGAGTTTCAACTAGATAATGTATTTATAATTTATAAATTCATTTAGCTGGGCATGTGAAAACCTCAGCATGTCACAACTCAATGAGCAAGTAAATGTGCCCCTGTTAGTCCCTATGTTGTGGAATTTCAGATACACCAAAACACTTAAGTGTCTAACGTTCTGACCTTGGAAGTACACCTGTCAGTCTGGTTTGCTGTATTCAAATGTAAGAACAAACATGAGTCTACCAGCATGGGAAATTATTTTGAGGTTAGCTAGTGTAGCCTTTCATTCTCTACTGGGATGAGTTATTGCTGAATGATTTGGAGTTTTAAGACAGTGATTTGCTTTCAGTTCTGATAGAATATTTATTAAATTGGTTTGTGTATGGAGAACTAGTACTTTATATTGCCTATTTAATTTAAAAAATGGTTAGTTTTATAGCTTGAAGAAAATGGAGAGATCTTTGAGGAGAAAGGATATTTATTTATGTTGGGAGAGATGACTAATACCTATGATGTATATTATCCTAAGAAATGGAATTTTTTTTTTTTTTTTTTTTTTTTTTTGAGACGGAGTCTGGCTTTGTTGCCCAGGCTGGAGTGCAGTGGCCGGATCTCAGCTCACTGCAAGCTCTGCCTCCCAGGTTCACGCCATTCTCCTGCCTCAGCCTCCTGAGTAGCTGGGACTACAGGCGCCCGCCACCTCGCCCGGCTAGTTTTTTGTATTTTTTAGTAGAGACGGGGTTTCACCGTGTTAGCCAAGATGGTCTCGATCTCCTGACCTCGTGATCCGCCCGTCTCGGCCTCCCAAAGTGCTGGGATTACAGGCTTGAGCCACCGCGCCCGGCCTAGAAATGGATTTTTAAGTGCTAGAACTCCCAAGTGGCTTGGAATGAGTGTCGGAGAGGCTGGCAGTTTGTTGTAGAGATTGTTTAGATTTCTGGCAAGTGGTTTGGTGACAGTCTGCTTCTAAGACAGATTTTTGTGTTCTGTTTTTTGCTGGTCATATAATGAATTCCAATCTTACTTTTGAAACCCAAAATAATTCAGGGAGTGTCAAGAAATTCCTAAGACCCAGCTAATTTCGGTTCACTTTGATGGAAATATTTAGAAATATATTTTTAATGTTTGTTTCAAAATATATTTTAAAAAATGAAATATAAAAACTTATTTTTAGAGTGGTTGAGTGTTAAGAAATTGTGTAGCAAAATTGTTACAAATCCTTTTTTTAAGGTATATGATGTGATTTTTAGAATTAATGTTGCGTTCAAATGTATTTCTTATTTGTTTTCAGGCAGCAAGAATTATTGCTAAGTTAGCAGCTTGGGGAAAAGAATTGATGGAAGGCAGTGACTTAAATTACTATTTCAATTGGATAAAAACTCAGCTGAGTTCACAGGTAAAAGAAATTTTTTTAAAGTACCTTTGAAGGGAATATAACATCCATGTTCTTTTAAGCTATTTATAGTAAATATGTTAAATTACAAAAATGTTTTATTAAAATAATGCCATTTTGAACTTGACAAACCAAACTACTGTCAGATATGGGTAGTGTGCTTTGCTTTTTCTTTCTTTAACTGGCTTCATTTCAATCCTTTCTGTCTTTTCTGCCACTTGGGGTTTCTTATTCATGCTTTTCAGGGGTCAGGGAGTACCTTTCTTCTAGGTGGCTGCCAAGATGATACAGGCTGGAGAATTGAAAGGACCCACACAGCTCCAAAGAGCACGTGCGTGTGAGGCTTCGATAAAGGAAAAGAAACGGTACAGCAGGAGAGAGCATGCCTCGGGCCGAGAGATTTCCAGGTGCAGCTCCCTCGGCTGCCCCAGAATTGTGAACCACCAAGATTTGTGCGGGAAATCTTGGTTTTGGGAGAGCTCTCTGAAAGTTTCGAGTGAGATCTTTTATACCCTTTCGGTTACATAACCAGGCTAAGCTGTCTAACCGATTACACTAATAAACAAACTGGTCCTGGGTGCCACCAGGGGCATTTTAAACTGCAAACAGCATGTTCTAGATCTTTATTAGCTAACCTGCTTGTCCTTGTCTGGCCGAGTCCCTCCCATGCTTCCAGCTCCCCCTGGGTGAGCCTGGAGCTGTCCAGTCCAGCTGCAAGAGGACAGTGTCCCACACAGTGGCTCGTTCTCACAATTTCCCAGTTTCAGGGTGGGATTAGTTAGGCCTAACGAACTACTTGAAGCATGCCTACTGGTCATCTTGGTTGCTTGCAGGCCTTTCTAGCTCTCTGTCTTCGGGAGGAAAATAGCCTGCAGGTGTGATGGCTTGGAAAATGACAAGTTTTCTGTTTTGTCTTCATGTTTCCTCAGGATAGGGCAAAAGATAGGAAAAAAATGATGGTTCTGCGGAATGATAGTTTCAGGCTTACGGGGATGAAGTGTAGTAGGTATGAAGAGGTGTGGTGTTTGATACTCAGAAGAGGAGAGAACTAAAGGTGGACAGGGGAGGAGGATTCTGGAGATGAAAAGGTAGAAGGGAATGAGATTTTGATGTGAGGGTGACCTAGAGGAGGAATGGGACCAGGGGAAACAATATTGGTAGGTTGTTAGATTACAAATAAATGTCTATTCGAAATTTTTTGAAAGTTGCTATTTAGATTTCAGGTGACTTTATTAACAGATTTTAGTTTGAGGCATAAGACAGACACCATATTTTGCTTAGATTTACTTTTTGTCTTGTTGCCTGCCTTTTTTAGGGGAGCCTAATTGCCATTTATATTTGGATAGAGATATTTTAGAGTTTCTTGATCAAAATCTTTTTTATGTTAATAATATCAATTTTAACTGGTTTGGGTCTTGGTTTTAAAAAGTGTTTTTACAAGAGCCACCATTTCATTGAGTTTGTGAGGTATTTAAAAAACAAGCTATTTAAAACGTAAGAAACAAGCTTGTGAAAGTGAGATTTAAAATTTCTAAATGTAGCATATCGTTTGGGATCAGAATGTTAGTTAAATAGGATACACCTCTCCCTTTTTTCCTACTTTGAAATGATCTCTTCCCTTTAATAAACTTAATTCCAGGCCTGGTGTGGTGGCTTATGCCTGTAATCGTAGCGCTTTGGGAGGCTGAGGCACGCCAATTGCTCGAGCCCAGGAGTTTGAGATCAGCCGGGGCAACATGGCAAAACCCTATCTTTACAGAAAATAGAAAAATTAGCTGGGTGTGGTGGTGCACACCTGTAGTTCCAGCTACTCAGCAGGCTGAGGCAGGAGGATCACTTGAGCCTGAGGAGGTTGAGGCTGCAGTGAGCTGTTATCACGCCACTGCACTCCACCCTGACAGTATGAGACTCTTGTCTCAAAAACAAAAAAAAAACAACAAAAAAATCCCCAGAAAAACAAAACTTCATTCTGGGATAATGTTAGCTTTCAAGTATAGTGGTAATAAGGCTCTGTAGCTGAATTCATAAAGTGAAAATTGGTAGGGAAGAATGGATGCTGTGGCATGCTCCTAGCTTTTTGGGCACTTTTACCTTTAGACTTTTCCTCCTAGGAATAACATATACGTTGTGCCTCTCAGGTGACTGTCACTTCTGGAATGATTGACCATGCTTGTGACGATGTCCAACAACTGGGTGGAATATTTCTCTCATCACTAGTGGAAGTAAATATTTCAATGTCTAGAATAGTTTTCATTAGAATTGAGCTTTTTATAGATAAATGCTCTTCAAGAATTTTCTTCATCTTTTTAGTGCACTTTTGTTATCACAGAGTCTTTGGCTTTAAGTTGTGGACTTTAAGTTGTGCAATGCCTCTGCTTTGCGGGTCCTTCTGCTGCAGGGGACCTCTTCAGGGTACCCAGGCTTAGCCTGGCCTTGCTTCTTAGTCTGGCTACTGCTTCTGCTTGGCTCTCATTGCACTGTCCCTCTTGCTGCGGGCAGGTACTTCTTCGTAGCCTTCTATGATTAAAATCCAGACTCTTCGTTTTAAAAAGTAACAATTATTTCTGATATTACTTGCTACTTTTCTCAATTGTCATGCGATAGTGCTATGTCTGGAGTGTCTCTTTTTTTTCTATCACAAGTGTTTTTCTCTCTCACAAAAAGTACCACAATTTCCTGATTCTAATAGGAATAAACTTTCAGAAGTCCAAGTTGCAAGTTTAGATGTTTTGTTCTTTGATCTTATATTGGCCTTTGAAGCCTTTTTGGGTAGTTTGGAGTGTTGCACTTGGGTTGTGGGAACTCATGCCTGTACTTCGCAGATAGTAGTTATTGAATAAATACAAAATTTCCTTTCAGAAATTCATTATTGCTTTTCTCTTGCACTTTCAGCCTCTGACTGTCTTTAAATTTTCTTTGGTCATTTCTGTATGACATTTGAGATTTTGATTGGTCATTGTAATTCGTTAGCTTTGCTGTGGATAACCAAGTCGCATATTGTACCTTCCTGACATCAGGCACCTGTTTTTGAAAGCTTTGCTACAGAATATAGTGTGGATAGTTCAATTTAAGGCAGTCATCTTACTGGAAAAACAATTCAGTAAGTAAATCTTAAGACTTGGAAATTTACACTGGCTTTACCCATGAAATTTACCTGGAGCTTAGTAGTCAGTTTATTATTGTTCCATTTTTAGCTACTTACTGATAAATATATTATCTGGAAGAGCGTAACGATATTTAGAACATTTTATGTCATCCCTTTGCTTTTTATTGACTAGGATTAGGAATAAAATTATAGGGGAAAAATTATTACATAGAATTAGGGGAAAAATTTGCTTAGCTCCCTTTTGTAAGCTGATACATTAGAATAAAATCAAAACAAAACAAAACTAAATAATAAGTTATTTATTTCGTAATAGAAACTGCGTGGTAGCGGTGTTGCTGTTGAAACAGGAACAGTCTCTTCAAGTGATGTAAGTATATTCCTTCACTGGCCTCCTAAACATCCCCAAAATAAATTATTTTGAGTCAATATACACTTAAAATTTTGAAGGTGTTTACTAGTTCCCCAACTATAAATCCATGGTCACCTCCAGTTAGGTTAATTGTAATATAAACTATATATAAATATTGATAGTCTATGAGGATCATCTTTTCTGTGGTAGTCATAAGACTTGTTCTTCCCTGTTGCTCTTTTTTCCAGGTGACTTTTGTTTCAGACCTGAGAATCAAAGCAAAAATATGAATTCAGAAGCACAACTGGAGCAAATAATCATAAAATTTTCCTTTAAACTTCAATTATCTGATTAAACTGTCTAATATCTGTCTAATCAACAGGTGAACAAAAGCATCAAACATTTGAAAGAAATTCGGTTACGTTTATTTATTTATTTATTTATTTATTTTTTGAGACAGAGTCTAGCTCTGTCCTCCAGGCTGGAGTGCAGTGGCACAATCTCAGCTCATTGCAACCTCTGCCTCCTGGGTTCAAGTGATTCTCCTGCCTCAGCCTCCCGAGTAGCTGGGATTACAGGCATGCACCACCACGTCTGGCTAATTTTTGTATTTTTAGTAGAGATGGCCAGGCTGGTCTTGAACTCCTGGCCTCAAGTAATCTGCCTGCCTTGGTCTCCCAAGGTGCTGGGATTACAGGTGTGAGCCACTGCACCTGGCCAAGAAATTCAGTTCCTTGATGGCACTAAAACTGACTGCTGTACTGTGAAGCTCAAGGCTTTATGTGGAGCTACATGGTAGCCAGCCCCTTGCTCTACTTTCTTTTTTGACTAATCTCTTTCCACTTTTTTTTTTTTTTGAGATGGAATGTCACTCTGTCACCAGGCTGGAATGCAGTGGTGTGATCTCAGCTCACTGCAACCTCCGCCTCCCAGGTTCAAGTAATTCTCCTACCTCAGCTTCCTGAGTAGCTGGGACTACAGGCGCCCGCCACCACACCCAGCAAATTTTTGTATTTTTAGTAGAGACGAGATTTCACCATGTTGGCCAGAATGGTATCGATCTCTTGACCTCATGATCTGCCCGCCTTGGCCTCCCAAAGTGCTGGGATTACAGGATTGCAGGCAGGAGCCACCACACCAGGCTTTCTTTCCACATTTTTGTAGAGCCAAAAGGTTAAAGGTTAAAACTAATTATGGCTCCCCAAGTTCCTTTCTTGGCTAAAGTTATGGTTTCCATTTGGGAATGGCTTAACTTTGCTGTGCTGTAGGAATAGCTCAGGAATTGGAAGTAAGTTTGGACAAGTTAACAATGTTCATGATGAGAGCCAGTTAATAGAAAGACAGGGAAAATGGAGACAGAAACAGAAGTGTGTCTAGCTTCCTTTGCTGAAAGTATCTCTAGGAAACTAGGAAGCATCTTTAGAGGGTAGTTTCTGTAATCTGCCTGTAATAGACCCAAGTGAAGCTCTGTAGGAGCCATTTAATATCCCTATTGGTTACTGGTACTTCCATAATCTGAATGAATGTCACGGGTATGTATGTTCTAAGACCATAGATGGCAGCAAAATCCATTTTGAAGCTGGGCTTCTCTTGGAGCATGGGTTGAAGTGTTTGATGACTCATATGTTAGGTCAGAAAATGGCTGTTAGCCTTCTGAAGTGGAATCAGAAAAAGGTATGAAACTAGATGCGCCATCTTGGGGCCATGGTGGGCTGAGGAAATGATGGGTAAGACTTGTTTCTCAGTCAGAAGCAGATGTTTACATTGAGAATCTTTATTTTGCTTAAATTGGGAATCTTTATTTCATGTGACTTGAATTTCTACCAGCTTGAAAAATTATTTAGCTTATTTTAGACATATAAACTTATTTAAGTGATTGTCAAAGCATTTTAAGTTATTAAAAGCTTAAATAAGGAAATGCAAACTCTGCTGACGTGACATCCTTATTTTGCTGCTTTCTGTGCAATGTGTTAGAAAAAAAAATTAATTGAGTTGGCAGTGTGTTGGTCTAAGTGGTTTACCTGGTAGATTCATATATATCCTAAATGGAATTCACATCAGGAGTGATTGTGAGTTAGGAAAAGATGGCCTTTGGTTTCCTACCTTCTTCCCTTTAGTGACTCTTAACCCTGAACATATTTTTGGACTCCTCCTGAAGTTCTCACTTTTTTAGATGGCTGTCTACTTGAAAAGCAGACCTCCATGTGTTGAGAGTAGGGTGTCAGCCCTTCCTTTGAGTCTTGTATTTCCATAGGGAAATCTTAATCTAGCAGCTAATATTCATTGAGCACTTACTATGTGCCTGGCACTTACTCATTTTACATTTACATCTCCTTGAATATTTACACTCCCTGTTCAATATGTCATATCATTAGCCACATTTTATGGATGAGTAGTGAGACCAAACAGAAAAACATGCCAACATGCCCGAGGTCACACAGAGACTCTGAAGAAATGGATTGCTTAGGGAATTACTTGTGAGGCAACTGAGTTGGAATTGCATCTTTAGGCATTCCTTAAGTCACATTGTTTACTCAGACTTTTTAAGGTATCAGTATCATATATTTAAATCATATCTTTTCAGAGTGGAGAAAAGCAGTTTGGTAAACTGCATTATAAATTATTGCCACTTGATGTCAGTATAAAACAAGTTTTACACTGCAAAATGTGAAATAAACATGATTCAACAGTCTTTTCAAAATGACCTCAGAAGCATCATTTTAAGTTGAGTGGATCATTAAAAACATTTTTTTTTTTTTTTTGAGATGGAGTCTCACTGTGTCACCAGGTTGGAGTGCAGTGGCGCGATCTCAGCTCACTGCAACTTCTGCCTCCCAGGGTTAAGCGATCCTCCCACCTCAGCCCAACCACCACCGCCAACCCCTGACCCCTGTCCCGCCAGTAGCTGGGACTACAAGCACGAGCCACCATGCCTCACCAATTTTTTTTTGTATTTGGTAGAGACAAGGTCTCACTATGTTGTCTAGGCTGGCCTTGAACTCCTAAGCTCAGTCAGTCTACCCGCCTTGGCCTTCCAAAGTGTTGGGATTATAGGCGTGAGCCAGTGTGCCCAGTGAAACATTTTTATTTAAATGACATTAGATAAGTGGAATTTCCTTAAAGTCTATTATTTTTCTTCTCCTAATTGTGAAAATAGACATCAGATTATATGTACTTACTTTAGACTGATTCTTAAACGTGAATTGTAAGTCTTTTCTTCTGAGGAAGGCAGGATAGCGTGGAAGTGGATTGTTGTACTGATGCCCTGATGAAAGAATACTGTGACTCTGTAGCAGGATGAGCCACAGACAAAACTCCTCAGACACCGAGTTAAAGAAGGAAGGGGTTTATTTGGCCGGGGGCATTGGCAAGACTTCTGTCTCAAGAGCCGAGCTCCTCAAGTGAGCAATTCCTGTCCCTTTTAAGGGCTCACAACTCTAAGGGGGTGTATGTGAGAGGGTTGTGACTGATTGAGCAAGCAGCGGGTAGGTGACTAGGGGCTGCATGCACCGGTAATTAGATCGGAATAAAACAAGATAGGGATTTTCACAGTGCGTTTCTATACAATGTCTGTAATCTACAGATAACAGAACCAATAGGTCAGGAGTCGATCTTTAACTGCCAGGCCCAGGGTGTGGCGCCTGGCTGTCTGCCTGTGAATTTCATTTCTGCCTTTTAGTTTTTACTTCTTCTTTCTTTGGAGGCAGAAATTGGGCATAAGACAATATGAGGTGTGGTCTCCTCCCTTATTCCCCTCTTTTGAGACTCTCACTCATTTTATTAGTGGGAGTTCTCACTTTCATTTTCACTACCCATGTCTTCTTGTAAAACAGATCAATAGTGATTCATACAGCACACTTGTGCATTATGGTGAACTAAGGTAGCAATGAAGCTTTTTATCATTTGAAGAAGTACAGGTAGCAAACAAGAGAGCAGTAAGTAGGTTCCTATTACTATTACAACTCTTATAAGATTTTTAAATCCTCCTAGCTCTGGGAGCCATTTTCTAAACATGACCCTAGGATCAAATCTATGCCACACTTGCACGGGCATGTGTGCCAGTTTTGTCATATCTCTAACCATGTCTTCAACTGCTTGCCCTTGATTGTCTATGAGTAGGCAGCAATTAGTAAGGTTAAATTTCCTACAGACCTCTCCTTCAGCTGCTAGCAAGTAGTCGAGAGCTAATCTATTTTGATAGCATTTCTCATCTGAGTTTCTTGCCGGGCCAGAATAGTCAAGACTCTGTTGGTTTTATTAGTGATTATTTCTAAGACAGCTTGTAACTGTATGATTCGGTTGATCATGTAAATGGGGGTCCGATATCCCCACGAGCCATCTTGTGCCCAAGTAGCAGGCCTATAATATTGTATGATTCTCTCAGGGGGCCATTTATCATTTTTTCAATTTCTTATAGCTATGTTCTCTTTTTGCGGGATGCATAGACAGGGAAGCCCAGGAGTTCACCTGTTTTTATGGGCAGTAGGAAGAAAGATGGTTTAATAGTGCCAATAACACAACTACCTGCCCACTGGTCAGGTAATTTGGCATAAGCTCTATGCCCACATATCCAGTATAATCCAGTGGGGACTGTCCAGTCCCAGTGGGACTCCGGGTGGGTTCACACAGTTTGCAACTTTGGGAATTTACTAAATGAATTTCTTTCTGTGTGATTTGAACTCCACCAAGTAACTGTTTCTGTGGTACTGTTATACAGTTTCTGTCTCAGACAACTAAGTCATCCTACGGGGTGAGTGAATTCTTTTCCTTTTCTAACTATGCAATATTGTCCAATAATTGAGGCTTTTAGGACCCAGAAATTATCAGGGTGATTCTTTTAAGCTGGGAATTCATCAGGAACTGGGTCTGTAGGTACTAATTTTCAGGCTTCCTATGGCCATTGATCTCTTATTACAGTTCCTCCACATAGATAACATGAAGTGAAGTGACATTGAGAGACTGGGCTACATGCTCGGCTAATTGCAAAAACAAATTTTTGTTTTTCCTGGAATTTCTGG